GGACGGACAGCAAGACAGACGCAAGGTAAATTGATCGCTAAGTGCTGCTCTGCTCCGCAGGCGACACAAAAATGTTTATTTGATTGTCTGTTTGTTTAACGTCCCTTGAGCTGCCAGCATTTTCCAGTGGAGGGCTGCAAATTCAGACCTATACTCGACACTCAAGGCCATTGAGCAGTGGGGAATTTTTTTCATGCCGGCACCTACTTCTACTAGGGACCTCGGTTTATACGGCCTCATCCGAAGGATCATACTCCAGGTTCTGTAGTGGAATTGTTTGTTTGTTTGTGTGTTAACGTCCCTCTCAAGATTTTTCACTCATATGGAAACGCCACCACTTGCCGGTGGAGGGCTGCAAATTCAGACCTATACTTGACATTGAGCAGTGAGGGATCTCTTTCGTGCCAGCATGTACTGCTACACGGGATCTCGATTTATACTGTCTCATGGACCGGTCTCCACGTCCCGCAGAGGGAGTCGAACCCGCGACGTAAAGATTAACTCCTTACCCCGCGACTCTAGAGCAAACGCTCAAACCACTGCGCCACGCAGGCGACCTGGTGGTATTCGAAACCATGCACGACTCCGAATTGTAGGGGTAGAAACAGGCCCGTAGGAAGCAATTTCAGTTTGGGGGGGACAGCCATACATCTTCAATTGAGGGGGCACTATTAACCAATATTCCTTGACAAGCAAGCCCCCCCCCCCCCCCCCCGGAAACATTTTAATAAAGGTACTATCATTATGAAAGTCATGTTCTGACTTAAACCTGTAGAAAGCAATTTCATTTTTTTTCTGGGAAAGGGAACAAACAATCAATTTTTTTTTTATATATAAGCAAAAAAAAATCAATAAAAAATAAAAACATAATTGTGGGGGGGGGGGGGGGGAGACCGTATAACTTTAAGCTATATAGTGACTAAGAAGGAATAACTTGTCATTTGTCAAAGTCTTTTACCTAAACTCTTAACTTTTAATTGTCAGTAACAGATTCTTGTTACCAAGTGAAAAGTATACATGTACATTTATATGTAGTACAGGTATCCATCTCATATGCATAATATATTTAATCAATCATTTTATCCTTAAGGGAAAGTGAATCTCAATTAAAATTTGTCACAAATACTGGACTCCTGATTAATTATAATATACATGTAAGAAGGGATCGTCAATTAGGACTGCAGGTTTGTTAAATCCACAGCATGCATCTTCAGCCTTAATTAAAACGTTGTTTCGAAATATTACACTTTATCTATAAAAGCGTAAAATTAGAATTCACCTAAAGAATATTTTACACCACAGGGGAAATGCTTCCATGGCACCAGAAGTTTACAATTTTGATTGACAGGTGTAGCGCCGTGCATGGATTTCATGTAACTATGTACAAATAAGAAATGAAGGGATCTAAAGAAAAGAGTTATTGTTATTGACATTGTAATTAAAACAGAGACAATTAAGAGTAGTTTGGCTGTGCTGGCCTTTCTGATATTTGAAGTAAAGTTTTTGAATAACTTATCATTGAAATGAAGTTGTAAAAGTGTTTTATCAATTATTTTCATCTTCATCATTAGATGTGTGCTAATAAGTTTGTTATATTCAAGTCCATGTATATGTACTCCTTGTATAGTTTTTGTTTTGAACCGCGCGTGCAGGTGGAATTAAATTATAAAAAAGTTAACATACTTCTTAAATGCATGACATTTACGTTACACAGTTCTGGACATTAGAAATAATTAAGCTTATAATGTTGGCGATATTTTATCGTATGCTAAAAAATATGTATTACATAAAACATGTATTTTAAAAATTCAGCACAATATAGCCTTTCAGATACTTATACATACAAATCCAATTACATATAATATGAAATATTTTATTGAATATTATGATCTCTTCTCTGTAAACAGGTATGTTATGAAGAGGACATTGAAAGTGAAAAGGGGCTCGAATAGCCGCCAAAACATATAATAACACATAATTGAGACTTGTATGCAGTTTAAAGATTAGGATTCATGAAATCGGGGACCTTTATACGTCCTTAATAAAATGTTTTGGATTTAAATTAAATCAAATTAAGATAAGATTAAATGATTTAATTGAATGATCCGATATGATTTAAAAAATAATTTTCCGTAAATCATTGTGTTAGCAAAATGAATATAGAACGACATTGTTTTGTATATGAGCACTAATAGCTGCTTCCTCGGCCATATGCTATCGAGGGAAAGGTTACATAATTCTAAACAAACACAAAACCCGCGGTGTATGTGAAATGCAGTTAAATGCAGTTAAAGACTGATTTATTTTTTGCTAACTTTTTTAAAAAATTAATTTAGTATATGTTTCAACATTAAACGACGAAAAGATGTTTTGTTTACGAACGCAGGTCGCTTGTTCACACGCAATGGATCTCTTGTAATTTCGGCCACAATAATTTAATAAGTATATCACCAACATGACCAACATAGATAAGATGAAATAATTTGAAAGATCCGATATGATTAAAAAAAAAAACAATTATCCGTACATAGTTGAGTTTGCAAAATAGATTTAGAACGGCAACGCTTGCTTAGTGTATGGCCACTGATCACTGGATCTAGGTCACGCGTGATCGGGGGATGGCCGGTTACGTAATTATAAACAAAAACAAACCCCGAGACGTATTGATAATGCATGTGTGACTCAATAATTTGGAATGAAACCACAGAACACGCAAAAACTTATTTTAAAGTAATATTGGTATTTATTTTGGATAGATTTATCATTTATAGCAAGTTTATTTCAGTTATGCGCATAAAGATTTCACCTTCACTTGTCTAATGAAACTATTTACCTGTATATGGGTCAAGCTTCTAGCTCATTTATTAAAAAAGACTCGAACAAAAATAACAAGTTCATGAGATCAATAATATGTTAAAGAACAATTTTTTAGCAACAGCTATATCGAAATATTTACTGTTCTTCAGTTATAAAACGAAAACTTTCAAAGACCCTAGATCCCTAATTTAAGGGACCAGTCCCTTTTTGGTGGTGCCAAATGAAAGACCTTAAAATTGTGCACAACTTTTATTCAACATATCTTAACAAAATATTTTTAGTTTAAAAGATACATAGGAAAATATGTGTAAATTTTCGCCCTTTTAGGTGTTCTAAGTTTTAACCCCTATCTAGCGCCATTTTGAACACAGAAATCAAAACACAAAAATAGATGTGCACAACTTCTATGCTTCTATTATTCAAATTCAGTAGTATTTCTGCTCCAGCTTTTGTAGTCTCGGAGCCTTTGTCTGGAAACGAAACACCCAACATTTTCATTAAAAGGGGAAATAATTCCAAAGCGGAAGGAAGCTTTTTAAATGTATGACAGCATTCTGATAGAGTTTTGTAATGTCTATGAATTCTGAAAATTTGAACAAAATCCGTTGAGAAATGAGCGAGATATGAGGTCTCAAAGTTGGCGTCTAGAAAGGAGAAGAAGAAAAAAAGAATAGTAATCTTAACCATCAGAATCAGTAGAAGGTCTTTCGTTGTGAGGAAAGACCTTAATTACAGAGCAAGGCCGATTCCCATACTATACTCTGAATGCATTTTTCTTAAGTATTGGAGCTTTTGAAAAATTCTTTGTGAAACATTGCCGAGTATTATATTTCAGTCGTTTCAATGACTTGCCAATTTAATTATCTTTAGATTCTCAGTTTTAAGTGTTTTATTATATAAATGTTCGAGTGTACATCTGTAAATCACGCAAATGGAACCCTCAGATTATGTTCAAAATTAATTAATACCGAAATAAATTTATACACAATTATTGAAACTAAGATTATTTGCAGTACATAGATTGAAATTAGTGTCAATGTTGACCAGCGTGTTCAGTGATGTGTAACACTGATACCCAAATAACATGCATTGACTTTCTGCTAATAATGCCCAAAGGCGATTGAAACCTCAGGTGTTGACACCATTTTATACAATCCCATTGTATTAATCGGCCAGGTAAACACAAACAAAACAAATAAGAAACAAGTCACAATTCCCGATATTTTCAAATGTTTATTTTTTAAATAAATGTACTCTTTTAATAACTTGTTTATAAATTAAAAACTAATTCATAAATTAATCCCCGAATAATTGTTCACATTGTTTATGTGACAGAAGAATGGTAGAATAATTTTATTTCATGGTCATTAAATAAATTATTAGGTTTTATCTGAGGTGGTAAAAATTAGCATGGAGTGCTCTTTTTTAAGTATGGTATTAGCTTTTTCAATTAAGAAAAAAAATCCGATACAGTACGTTCCTCTCAATTCATGTATCTTACTGAAATGACAAATTTTTTTTTGTTTTTTGTTGGTTTTATTTATTTATTTATTTTTTTTTTTTTTGAATAGTGCTAATGCAAACTTTGAGTATATATCTAATTTGACAGCATTAATTTATTAAATAAGCCTTGATATTTTTTTTCTTCAAACACCTGTATTGACGTTTAATTGAAGGGATAAAAATCATCCCCTGACTTCCCTTTTTAACTACTTTTATTTTCTTAAAATTGATTCTCGACTACAATTGTGTAAATTTACAGCCCTCTGAAAACATTTAGTAATTACATGTATAACTATCTCTATTTATTTGATTTTTGTAAGAAATTAATAATTGTTGTTTTTTTTTTTGTTGTTTTTTTTTTTTTTTTTTTTTTTTTTTTTTTAATTTGTTTTTATCTTAACCACCTCTCTGCAGAAAGTAAACAAAACAACAACAGGGAGCTGCAAATTCAGAATACACAAGGGGCAGAGCTATCATGTCACTCAGAACCTTTTTTACGCATGAGTGAACAAAGCAGTCCCAGAAAATAGTCTCAGGGACTGCTGAGACTGCTGGGTCTGCTTTCTAGAGCAGTCCCAGAGCAGTCCTATAGCGGTCCCACAGCAGTCCCAGAGCGGTCCCAAAGCAGTCCCGGGGACTGCTTTCTGGGACTGCTTTTGTGTCAGGTTGGGTGTGGTTGGTACTGTATAGTAATTGTTTTATTACGTTGTGTATCATTTTTGATTTATGCAATATCACATAAAGAAAACATGTTTTTGTTTTTATTTTTTATTTTTTGTCTCTTATCTTGTACAGTTATGGGGGTTTGTTCACAAGTCATTTGAACAATCATTCATTATTTAACGAGGCAACATGATCAATGGAATGTACTGAATTTAACAGAAAAAAATTAAATATATAGACTAAAAATTTAATCTTCATTAAAACAAGAATAAATAAATGTTGCTTCTTTTTGCATCATGTATTTTATTGGCGCCTTAGTTGGTGTTCATTGGTGACAATTCATCTGCAGCAGGTGGGTGATTTACTTTCTTTTCTAAATCAATGATAAATATTTAGCATTTACCTTTTTAGTGGAATTTTTGTCAATTGTTCAAACGGATTTGTGTGTGTGTGTATTGAAATATTGTATAATTTTGCACTCATCAAGATTCATCTCAAACAATATGATGCTTCAATATCTTTTACAAAACTGTGTCGTGCATAAACATAAGAGCTTAAGTACCTTTTTTCCATGGAAATTTAATGATATTTTTGATTTTCTCCCACATTAGTGTTGATATGATTCCAGCAATTAAGATTAAGGATGTTCCAACTAAAAGACCGATCCTGAAAGTAGATTATAACAATACCTGATCATCTTATACTAATAATGTATTTGTAATGAAAACAATTTGACAAAAAATCTGTTATTAAAATTATAAGCACCTGGTAAGACGTGATTTCTGCGAAGTAAGTTCTGAAGGATTAGGATGGGTTGTAAAACATTTATGATCTGGAACCAAATACAGATCTGATTTAATCACTTTTCTTACACAGTTACTTAAAATACAGTAAATACAGTTCTCTCCAATCTCCCCGATCCAATGAAAGATATGAAATCTATCACCTATATTTCCTGAACAAACATTAAAATGAAAAAATACGGTTCAATAGCAGACTGATTTGTTGATTTTTCAATATTTTTAACAATGCAAATTATGTATTACAGTGAAAAAGGGTGAAGATAACGAGAAGTGATCGACCTTATAAAATCCTCAAACAATACAGATCTGTGAACAGGGCATAAACACGGACCCCTGGAAACTACAGAGTTTGAACCAGGTGCCAAGGAGGGGTAAGCATCCCCTCCAGACCGGTCACACCCGCCGCGAGCCCCATGCACCGACCAAGCAGACGGAACATTTAGTATAAACAATTGGCAGGAAACAAGTCAGCCAAAACACGACAATCTTTTATGAGACGTTAGGAACTTATATCTTTACTAACATGTACATGCAAAACAAGATTAAATTTGGACTGCATTTCTTTACTCTGAAAAAATGATATCAGCTCAGAACAATAGAGTTAAAATTGTTTTGAATATTTACAAAAACATACACATCACTCGATACGTGTAAATTGCACTTACATTTGTATCCATCAGTAGAAAGGTAGCGAGAAGGGCAAGGCTCTGCATACCGTGTACAGTCTTTGCTGTAATGGTCTTGAATGACCTTCCCCTCTGTATTGTACTCTGTGCAGTAGCCTTGATATAAAATAAAAATTTTTAAATACAAATCGTGTAATACATATGATCTTCATCATCAAAGTACCCAAATAAATTAGTTTTTTATTACAATATGTAAATACTAAGCACAGTTAAAGTTTAAGATAGGATGGCGAAATAAAAATATATCAGATAATTTAATGATTTTCATCTCATATCTCAGTTGTGATAAAACTTTTGAAAGAATGGGGAAAAGGTTAACCTGTTATGAAAAACACCGGTGCACAAACTTCTAAAGTAGCATTGCCATAGCTGTTGAGAACACAGTGGTATTTAAATTTATCAGGTGAGATGCAGTCTTGGCTTATATATTGGCAACCTTTGGCTTCTGACCTTCTCTTGTATTCCTCAAAAGTGGAAGGACATGACGTCACAAAATGTACTGTCGCAGACGAAACAGAACACGATCGAGGGTTACTGGCTTTTAGGAAAACCTAGAAATATCAGACCTGTTGCTTTAATGTTGCGTTATTATTATGGGGGATAGCCGTCTGACGCTTCATATCAACCTTACGTTTGACGTTTACCTCTCAATTAATTGCTAGATTCAAGTCTGGAAATATATATGTTTTGGATAATTGTAGGATGTCAAGCAGGAAAATGTGTAATTAATTATCTGCATCTAAGTCCAACTGATCGAAAAAACGAACAATATAGATATCAAGCGTAGTAGCAATGGGTAATTGGATATGGTACAATCTATATATACATTCTATATCCACTTCTGATGTTTTTAGAGGTCGTTGTTTGCTCTGCTTTTACCATTCGTTATCTTAAGCTTTATATATACAGTGTACTTTTTGTAGATTCTTTAGTCTGGTTCTGTGTGGCTCTATTGTGTTATAGATTACATCTTGCATATCAAACAGGAAAGACCTGGTCTACATTCTAGATCGTAGCAACTACTCAGGATATATGTATCGATCTGTCGAACGCACTTTATGAATAAGCCTAGGATAGAATATCGATATATATGTAGTCGCTACAATCTTAAACGCAGCTACGGAAGCTTGTATGGTTAGGGCTTACTAACACACACATATACATATAATAATATTGACTGAAGATAATATTAGTTTGGCCACACCCTAATGTAAAAAAAGAAAAATACATTTGATGCACATTTACTTCTCTCGAGTTTATCATATTCCCTCGTATCTTACAAAAGTTACTGCAAATCTTGAATGAAAACAAATTATTTTTTACAAATAACACAAATGAAGACTGCAGTGATTTGGCATGCAAATTGAAATTATTTTAAAAGAAATACACACATTTTTTTACTAAATTAATAAATAGGCCTACCTTTCTTAAATATAAAAAGAAAAATATCATTAATACTCCATGTTTCATGACAGTATTTTGTTATATTTTTTGTTTTTTTTTCCCTGGTGTATAACAGACGTACATAGGGAAAGGCCAGGTAACATTAGAGAAAGTTTTCAATTCATGAGTGATGTGTGTTTATTTATAGAGCAAAAATTGGAATTTACCTTATTCTATTTTAATGCTTAGATTTTTTTTAATATATAGTATGACGAGTCAAATGTTTGTGCATGTGTTTTTCGCATGGCTGTTGAATATGCTGCCGGTGGGTTCGAATACGAGTTAGGAGATTTGTTCTTTTCTTACTCTCATGTCATGTGACCTTATGATCGGTCTATATATATATATATATATATATATATATATATATATATATATATATATATATATATATATATATATATATATATATATGCTATTTTTGAAGGCAAAACTGCAAAATGTCTAGACAGGTTTTGCCTGTCTCTATCGTACGAATCGTATGTATGCATATCGCGCATATCAGACAGGCAAGGCCATTCTACAAGATGTCTTCATACGAAATAAAGTAAATAGTTTGATATTTGCTCTAAAGGATACAAAGGAAGAGAGGTAACTCCAATAAAACAAAAGAAATCAGGTAAAATTTAAATGTGTCGAGGCACTGGGCGGGGCTTGGAGACTTAGATTTCTAATTATGTAAAGGTTATAGGCCGAAAACTGTCCATTCTGTGAGAAGAGAGAACTGTTGGAGGGCCATTAGGTCCGACAATAGTACTTTCTTCTCACAAATGGACAGTGTGACGCCTATAACCTACTTAAGCATTTACTTTATTGTGTTCATAATGTACTCTCTTAGACCAGTTTCTCATCCATTGTATTAAGTTAGCATTGTCTACTTATTGGACTGTCTCGAGTAAAGGTTGTTTACAATCAAAAGAAACTTACATTCATTATAATTGTTAACCTTGTGGACTGTTTCATCTAAGTGTTTTATTTTTTATAATATCTGAATTTAAAACATGCATGAGATTCTAATACAATTTTTCTGTGATTGTATATGTTGAAAGTAGGGAGGGAGTAGTCTTCCAAGAGAGAAAGCATACTTCTGATGAAAAACAAACCTAGATATGATGAGCAATCTAGTTATAATACGAATGTCATTCTCAAGTGATATTCAGAATATAGAGCTTAGGATTGTTAAGATAAATTACTTTGAACTCAAAGTGGATATTTTGTTGTTGTTGTTTTTTTTTTTTTTTTAAATATTTCTCAACGTTTGGTCAAGGTAATTAGATGATTTTAGAAGAGGCTAATAAAACAGAAAGTGGAGCAGAAATGTAAATTGGCAGTGACTCTGTTCTTTAACATACAGAGAGAATGTCACACAGTACCCAACGTTGGTGCTTTCATTCTTAAGGACATCACGATGTTGAATGATAAAGAAGTCAACAAAAATCATTACATGTAGCTTTTTGTCACTGAAGTCAGTAAAGAATCGAACGAAAAATATTGACCAAACGTCTTCTGTGCCTCTGCAGAAAGTGAGAAAAATATTTAGAGTACTAGTCAGAAAGAAGAAGGGGCGATTGATTCTTGTTAGGGAGACATTAAAAATGGAGAAGTGAAATCTGCGAGTGTGTTGTTGGTGCAAGTTACATTTCAATAGAATTCGGAGATATTTACTTGAAAATTTAGCTTTGACATTCACTGTGAGTTGAAATATAATATCATCATCATTTATTGGAACAATTACAAAGTTTAAGGTTTTGTTTCTGTGACTTGAAATGCATATTTCATGGCATGTGAAACATGTTGTATTTATTGCTTAAAATATTTATTGTGTCTTTGTTTTGTTTTTCTAATCAAATAACTAACCTGTAGTTGTCTAATAAATTAATGAATATGTCCATTATTTTTAATAATGAATAGATTTTGTTTTACTTATTGGACAGCTACGGGTAACTTATTGGACTGCCTTGAGCCTTTCAAGAAATAGAAAGTATTAAAAGAACAAAAAATGATGTCATACTAATGTTTTAATAAATAAGAATAAAGTAAATATCTTATTTTTTTTATTTCTGAATATAATCAAGGATTAGATTAGAATGTCAATAAAAAGGAGTAACTATTTTTTTTTATTGGTATAATTATGATTATCAAATAAATTGCTCAAGTGATAATTTAAAGCAAATTATCACGTGAAAAAAAAACGGTTTGATGACATAATAAATCAAATAACTTGACAGTTCTTCCTTAAATTAATCTTTGTTTCGATTTTGAAGATGTTCCCATCTTCTAAAGGGATAGATACCAGATCAATGATAAGCTTAATGGCACTTACCGACAGAATATCACCCAACTGAATAGTTACTTTTTATTGTGATAGTCAGACTTCCATAGTATTTGGAGGTGGTTATTGATTGGTTGCGTCTTACTTTTTCGTAGGACTTTTGACATTTCTTGTCAGATTTTAGAACTCCACTGAGGTGCTGAACGACTGATGTTAGTTAGGTTTCTTGTTTTTGGAACATAGGTAAAAAACTGGGATCAATTTAAGATTTTTGACTTCCTTAGAGGATGTATTAAGGTTCCGTTTCGTTTGTAGAATCTTTTTATAGTGGCCAAATTTTGTTAATGTTCCTAATTGTTGTACCGACGCTTAAGCGAGTTTTGTATTTTTTTCTGCGATAGTTGCTACGTAAATTGCCATACTAACAAACAAAGATCGACATTTTATTGTTTAGATTGTTTATATTTATATCCGTACATCATCTATAGTAGGAATAAGTACGAGTATATTAAATATTGAATTATTGGTATGTATGTTATTGTATGTTTTATTGATGGAAGAGCCACTGCTCAAGAAATCCATATAGGTGGATATGCCTAGTGTTGTTTACTGTCTGATATAACGACAATAGTTTTTAGACATAAAGGATAAAATATTCATTGGATTTAAATGTATGGAGATAACGAACAGTAATCAAGCTCAGAAGTCCATTCAGTAATATAACCAGTGTATTTATTCTTTTCGACAATCTGAGATGATATAAAGTTATTTTAATTCAAAAATGTTAATTTTGCTCCTTGATAATATACTTGCAGAGGACTCCCAAAACCTTGCGATTGAGAAAGTATAAAAGACTTGGTTTTTAAATATACCGATGCCGTGCAGTGATAGTTAAAGAAGACACATAAACACAAAATAATTAGCAATCTCACATTATCACAGAAAATCTTTTGCATTCAGTAAATTTGAATACATACAGTGATCTACTGGTGAAGTCTTTTTTTTCTTTAGGAAAAGAGGGGGGGGGGGGGCAAAATATTTTCTTTAACTTGGAAATACATATGGGAAACATGACATACTTCCAGCAACAGGCAAGTTCAGAGGAATGTTGTTTCATGACTTTACTAGTTGGGTGTCATGTTCATGGTCAGTACCCAGGCCAAAAATCATAAACGAAAAATCTTATATTGTAAAAGGGTCGTATTGTTTTAAATATCGAAGTCCTATATATTCTCTTATTCAATTTAGATATAATCAATGTTAAACTGAGTTTATGTGGCATACAGATAGACAGACAGACAGCTACAGTATATGGCCATAAATGGATCATAATTGGATTTTTACACTATATATTTCATTGAAAAAAAATTTATAAAAATTCATTTGGTTATTTCAAGCGCAATTTCCACGATTTTTCACTGAATCATGCAGAATAGTTCAAATTTTCTTAGTTTTAAATTGCGAAACAAAATGATATACAAATCACAGAAACTGATTTATGTAATCGTCAAGACAAAAATTTCTTTTACTTGAAATTACTATGATTTTTTAATAAATAAGAGTTGTGAAATTTTATTCCCGCATTTGACTTGTGATATATGGATTGAATTATTTTGAAATTGTGTGAGGAAACTTCAAAGAATCCACATTTTATGGTGTTTTAGTCATAAAAATGAGCAACAAATAACTATGTAATAAAATGTAGAAAAATGAATTTTAAAATGAAATACACTACAAAGTGGAAAAATATATTTATGACTCACTTACGGGCAGTTGTAACCAGGTACTGTAGATGAATGAAATTTAACGTCCCCGCACTTTCTGCCTGAGGGGGGGGGGGGGGGGGTTCTTCATTTCAAGTTTTAAAAAGTATATTAAAAATCTCTTTCTTCTTTTCATGGTAATTAATAAGGGATTTTTGTTGTACATTTAGATTTTATTGGATGATGATTAATGGAAATTACTTATTAAATTTCTATGTAAATTCACGAAGAAATTACTTTTCAGTCCCCTGATTGAAACACGGAGCAAGGACCCTGTGTGCAATGGTAAGCCGGAAAATTATGTATAGAAGAATTATCAGGAAAGAAACTTGTCCTTTAATCCCAACCTTTCCCATCCCCCTTGAAATAATTGTCAAATAATTTTTAATCATACTGTAATTTTAAAGTGTTTGGTGTTTTCAGAGTCCTAGCTCGTTCAACAAAAATAGGGCCTAATTAAAGAAGAAGGTACAGTTTTGACTTTATTATGTCCTAAAAATTTAATGTCTTCAAAAAGTTTAGAAACTGGCTTAAATATTAGTTGAGTATATGAATATGATAAATCAGGAAAGAATATGCCATGAAGGAGTACCATTCTGGAAATATGACTTCATCAATTTGATGCATTTCTCTCTTTTAAACAGAAAAAGCCTAAAATGACCCATTTCATGGGTTATTTTTCTTAAGAAAATAGTGTCTACAGCTGTCGCCCACTATAATTTTCGGATATGTTGTGTAAAATTCTTTGAAAAATCACATATCTCAAAATCTTTGTGGGCGATGCCTGTGGACAATATTATCTGAAAGAAATTTCCATGTGAAATTGGTGTCTTCTGCAACTTTTTAAGAAAATACGGGAAAAATGCACATGTTTATGACGTCACAATTAGCATTTAAAAGGTCATGTGAGAAAAATGATTTGCAATATCTTTCTGCATGGAATTTCAATGATTTAGAAAGTATGAGTTTAAATTTTATAAATCACTTTCATTTTTAAGAAAAACACAGGGCAAGATTTGTATTGAAACCGTATCTTGTTTTTTTTTTATTGTCACAATTGTCTTCTGAAGCAAGCTCTGTTTATCTTAAAAATTAATTCATACATGAATTAATATTTAATCTTACTAAATTTAATAGAAGATAAGAAAGCAATCGACATGCCTGAAAAAAGTTATACATGTCCGTTTTTCATATTTTTAAATTGAATTTGTGCCCTTATATTTTTCCATGCATTTTACTGAACTATGCACAGCTGGACTTTTGCGAGAAGCGCTGACTTTTACTATGGAATGCCACAGCTGTCTTAAGGGTACAAAATATGCATCATAGTGTCAATTCGATATAACATTAAGTCTATCCTTTATATCATTAAGTCCATTTTATATAATATGTAGGCTTTTCTTTATATCACTAAGTTCGCTTTACATATTATGCAGTCTATTCTTTATATCATTAAGTCTACTTTATATATTATGTAGTCTATTCTTTATATCATTAACTTCACATTATATATTATGCAGCCTATTCTTTATATCATTAAGTCCACTTTATATAATAAGTAGTCTATTCTTTATATAATTAATTATAAGTCCACTTTATATATTATGTAGTTATTCTTTATTTCATTAAGTCCACTTTATATATTATTTAGTCTATTCTTTATATCATTAAGTCCACTTTATATAATATTTAGTCTATTCTTTATATCATCAACCCACTTTATATTATATGTAGTATAGAAGCTATGCCATGCTGACAAATCAATTTCATACAAACTTGCCACAGAGCATCCTTGGGTGAAGGGGATACAATTAAGTTTGCTCAAAGGAAGGGTTAAACCCCTTTCAAGAGAATATAATTAAGAATTAGTGAAAAATTGGTGGCATCTTGTAAAAATGTACTGTTAAACAACCAATGGGCCTAAATAAAAATTAAAACTTGAATGAAACATCCTTTACATGGTAAACATTCAAGTTTTTTTGTTCAAATCAAATCAACCCCCGAGTTGGAATGGGGTCCCAATGGGGGATCAAAGTTTTACATCGGGATATATAGAAAAAATCTTTCAAAAAGTCTTCTTCTAAAGAAAATCATGGCCGTGTGATGTTAATTCATATTGATATGGAAGTGTAAATTCACGTTTGTTCAAATTATAATCCTGAGGGGTAGGGTGGAGCTATATCTTTAAAAATCACGAGTCTGTAGTTAGGTTGGGGTCTCAACAGGGACCAATTTTTTTTTTCATATGAATATTTAATGAAAAATCTGCTGCTGAAGAACAGCATGGCCATATTGGCTCAGGTGAGCATTGTGGGTTATGAGCCTCTTGTTTTTTTAATCTTTACCTTCTCTTTGATCTTGACCTCACTTTTCTTAAATTTGCATTAAGCATAGTTTGAAAGAAACTATTCAAGATATTTTTATGTAAGCTTTTGCATCCACACATAATTTGGTGAGAGTTTATCATCTGTGTCCAATTATTTTTTACCTTTACATCCCCCCCCCCAAATGACATTTGACTTTACTATTTATAGTTTCTAAAACTCATTTTTAAAGACACTATTAAAGATTTTTTCATCACACTTCATATACAATTTTGCAATTACTAAGGAACCCTAAGCAGAGTATTCACGTCCTATGGACATATATATTTCAGGTTGAATTTGATAGCTGTAAACTCTACCTCAAATATAACTAAAGCCTAAAAAAACAGTGTATTGCAAGTATATGTATTGATGAGCAGTGGGTTCAAACTGATTAAAATCAGCTGTTCTGATAAGACACCTGTATATACGAAGTATTGTTTCAGAACAGCTGATTTTAATCATCATGTATTGGCAACATATTTGTACCTGTTATCATGACAAGTATTATACAAACCAAACCTGCTCATGCTGTGGTTTTAAAATGCTTTTGTCTGATGCTTAGATGAAGTGCTACTTTTGACCTACATTATATACTTTTTATATACTTCAATGGCTCATATCCAGTTTTTGACAAGCAATACACAGTGCGTTTATGAATGTGATGCTTATGTATATGAAGAATATGACATAAGCTACATGTACGTTTTGATTGTGCCTTAGCAGGGAACATCTAAGTCCCTTTTTTTAAAAAAAATGTTAAAATATCTCCATGGGGAAAAATTCAATCTAAAGTGAACATTATCTCCTTTGTATTCACTGAGACAAAAGTAACATGTAGAAAGCTTGTGTTTAGTACATTCATATCTGTTCATTTCCCATCACCAGTACTGAAAATGGTCCGCAGTAGGAATTCAAAATGTTTAATGTTTCTCTTCGAACATGATGGCTGAACGAAATATTAAACACATACAGAAACACTGGTTACACTTAAATGATATACTCCCATTTCTCAAAAGGAATGTGACTCTTAATGTAAGTAAATCATAGATTAATACCATCAATGTGATTGTTCCACAAAATTAGATGGTAATTTAAAAAAAAATATATAACAACCCATTTTTGTTTTGAATTGCAGGCTACTTACACGGCAACAATCAGTTCATGCACAGGCAGCAATGGGTTCCCCACCCTTAAAAGCTTCACATTATCAAGCAACGCCAGGAACAAAAAAACTTCTGCTTATTAGCACGCATTCTGCTTGACGTATGTAGTGATGCTATGAAAGACTAACTGCGATGCAAAATTAAAGGAGGAGAAGCTATTATTACCAAGAAAATTTATGAGAAAAGAAATGAATTAAACAAACTTAAGAGCCTTCATGATGCTCAGAAAAAAGTAATATTGCCTCCAAACAATGAGCTTGTAAGATACCGTAATCTTGACTTCTCATTAATGTACATTATAATGAGAAAGGTCTGCCCTTTTCAAATAGAGCAAGATGAATACATGTACAAGCAAGATAAGTGGGGCAAGATTCCAGATGGTAATGATTTTAGCCTTCTAGCTGCCTTAGAAAGAATAAGGCAGTGTAGAAATGAATTTTTTGCACACAATACATCTGCAAAGGTAGATGACACTATTTTCAATTATATATTGTCGCAAGTTGAAGTAGCAGTGAAAAAAATAGACGAAAACGTAGACCCTTCCATTGTTTGTATTTGTTACATGGACGAAATGAAGAAATTAATAGAAAATCCAAACATAGATTGAAAAACAACAACCTTTTTAAAGCATATGGCAGATATGGAAAAACGGTTGATGGAAGCATATGAAATGACAGGTAAGTCAGATCAATTTACTTTGAATTAAACTTTAGATTTGTTCCAGTATTGTTAAAAAGTATTTTAAATATTTTAAAAGCAGCCCTTTGGTGCAGTATTAAAGTAAATTACATATATACATGTAGGTAAGGAAAGATTCATTCATGGAACTTAATTACAGGTACATAATTATATAAATCAACTTTTATTTGTGTGTGAGAATAGCAGCGAGTCTTGTGATCTTGTTTTACTCATGAATATTTCTTCTCGCAAACTATTTATTTTAACGAATTTGTGTTGAATATTTCCTCAGTCAGTTGTGGATCGATTATAAAAGGGCAAATCATGAATAAAGGCTGTTGAGAATAATAGCTGGTTTATAGTTTGCTTTTTTTTATTACAGTTGAGACAGATAACAAGTTGGAAGAATTACTTAGCATAAGGAGAGAATACAGGAAAAAATTTTGGGGTATGGTGTTAATATTTTATGAAATTATTTTTGAAATTTAAATTATGTAATCTCAATTGGTAGATACGCTTTGTAGAGCTGGATTAAGCTCAAACAGGACTAAAATCCCAGAATCCTTTTCTCTATTCCCATTTACCCTTTAAAAAATAGGGATTGAGAGAATAAGAGGGATTTTCCCTTCAAAAACAACTGAATGCAACAATGACATTCTTAGTCCCAGAAATGTTTGAATGGAGAAATGTTTAATCATGCCCAAAGTTACAGACTATAGTTACTAAATTTCAAACAACTTTTAACTATTTAAATTTAATATTTTCTTCAAATTAATCTTTCTATGGAATTGAATATTGTTAATTTTGACATCATAAGTTATATTTGATGTTAAGAAAAATAATTATGTTTATGATTATTGAAAATCATTTGTTTTGTTTGGACAAAATAATTAGTGAACACAAAATGAAAATAAAGGCTTTGAATCATTTTAGATAAAAGAACATGCATGTGCGACATATTACATTGCAGGACCTTAATCAAGTGATGTCTAAATGTTAAGACCTCCCACCTCCACCACCAAATGAATGTTCATATATATTATTGAAATATATGTGTTTCTCTTTTTTATGATTAATATCTCAATGTGTAGTACATTAATTACTTTTGATATTATTTAAGGGTCAAGTAGGTCAAAGTTCAATGTGGATGAGTACAGACATCAGGACTCAAATATTGGTAAGATAAATATACAAATCTTCGTAGGGGCTCGTTTTTATTGTTTTGCGTTAAAAAAAACACTCTCAAACATTCATGACTTCCAGAAATCTCGCACGTTTGAGGGTCTGGCCGTAAAATTATGCAAATAATGACAGAACTTTGTAATTTTTACAACCAGTTGAATACAACCCTGATACCAAATATGTTATCATCCTCTGGGGGCAAAAGTGGGGATAAGAATCTTTGTTTCTGCCTATAAAACATTATTATGATAAGACCATGGATAAGTTGATTTTTTTAAATCATTGTCACATTAAGCTGAAGCTTCATTGAAGGGTTTTGTTTATCTTAATTCCTTTTGTCAGAAAGAGAAAGGTGATTCATTTCAATGAGTATCTTGGTACAAAAGTCTCGTGTCAGTTGCTTTTTTTAATATTTGTTAGCAAGGTACGACAGTCTGTATCTGATCATTTGGAGATTTTTGACTGTTTTATGTATGTAAAGTGATCTGTTTTAATAAATTGTATACTGCGGTACATTTTCATAGATTTTTTTTATCAATTTTCGAATCCCAAGAAGATTATTAAATTTATTTATTTTATGTTACAGCTCAGACAGAACACTATCTAGCAGAATTTGTGAAGGAAAATCATTTTTATGTGGAAACAAGAGTATTTCAAGAGGTAGAAAGGTTTTTGAAGCAGAACAAATGTGCCATAATTGTAGGGAAACAAGGGACGGGAAAAACAGAGATTGCAAATCATCTAATGTTGAAGAATTTGAAACATTTCTTAGTGCGCAAAGTGAAACGTGCTAATGAATTTGAAACCTTAAATAACCCCCAAAAGAAACAAATGTTCTTTATTGACAATGTTTTCGACTGCTCTGATACTGATTTGGCTGATTGGTGGACAAGTTTTGATTACATCCAAAAATTAGTTGGTTCTAAAAGTAACCAACAGACATTGGGCAGGACTGGTAATGTGGAGTATGATACAAATGATGAGGGTCCAAAATTTATAACGTATTTTGTCATGACAACTAGACCGCATGCACTCGATGTTGCAAAAAAGAAAATGAGAAAAAATAAATCTTTACTGAAAAATTATGTTTTGAATATTGACGCCGATGGCTTTAGTTTGAGTAACAAAGAAAAACGACAAATATTGGAAGCTAAAATCAGGTTTGCATATCAAGAAAAGAAGATTCAAGAACACACCTTTTCAGAGGAAGAATGGAGAAGTATTTTCGAGTCCTGTCCTCCATTTGGATACCCCTTATGTGCCCGATTATTTGCTTGTGACAAAGGATATAGAAGAGATGGCACAGAGTTCTTCTCAAATCCCCATCAATATTTGAACAGTAGACTTTCGGAGATAATAGAGGATGATTTCTCAAGGCGCACAGGAATGCTTTTTATTTTATTACTACTTTCTGAAATGCAAAAAGTAACTCTGCAGTATGATGATGATGATCAGTGTTGGGAAATTCTTTTTAATCTGGGTCTTACTCGGGAGTTATCGCTTAAAAAGACAGAAGTTAAGAATTTGCCCGAGGCTGCAGCAGAACATCTCGAGGTGTATCTGAGAGAATTAGATGGTGCTTATAAATTTATTCACCCAAGTGTAAGAGAAGCTGTGGAAAATTACTTTATAGAAAAATATACAAAGAAAGCTATAGAAATTTTGCCGATGCATATTTTATTTAAGAAAATGAACTTGGAAGATGACGAAGACAAATGTTTGCCACCTTTGACACCTAATTTGATTGAAAGTCTAGCAGGACGACTTTTGCAAGACATCATAGAAAGACAAGGTAGCATCTGTGAAATTTGCAAGTATGATGGATTTAAAATCGAGAATTTTTCTGCTGTGTTCTTAGAGAAAATTACAAAAGATACACACTGTTTTCAAAAGCTTTTGAAGGCTGAACATACAGATGGATTTCCTTTCGTGTACTGGTTCACGTCGTCAGCCTGTCCGGACACAGTTCTTGAACTCTTAAAGCATGAAGTATTTAATACTGTGTGTTCAGATTCAGAAGTTTTCATACAGTGTGCTTATTCTCTGATGGCTTCCTGTGCTTCGAAAGAAAAAATACAAATAACTGAGTACATTTTAGAACGATATTCAAACAAAGAAATTCAAAATTTCTGTAGAGAAAGAAAGTGTTCTACAATTAAAGAGTCAATCCAGAAGTATGCATCTCCTTTGCTTGAAGCTTTAAGAGCCAGAAATGAGGATGCCATACGACTTTTGATAGAGAAAAAAGCAATATTCTCATTTACATGTTGGAGAGGATGGCCATTTTTGCATGCTTGCTTTGAAGAGCCACAAATCTGTTGTTCAGAAATTCTGGAAGCTATTCTTGCATTTGATGCAATTAGAATTACGTCAGACACAAATGATACGAAGGATACTTTGAATTATAATCAAATATTAGCAGTTGGAGAGAGAACATTCTATGAAGACATAGTGAAAAGTATTGACGGTTCCATAAGTGAACATGGGTCTTATGAAAGAATTTTACTTAATTTAGTTAAAATTCCTAGCCTTGAAATAACGAATGGATTGATAGATGCCTACTGTTCACTTTCTGAAATCAGAAAGTATTCTGAAATGAACCGCCAAAATCCATTAAATATTACTGATGATAATGGAGATTCAATCCTCCATTTTCTTATAAAATTCAAAGTTTATCATCCGAAATCCTTTGAAGGACACATTGACAGATGTGACATCTATCATCCAGAGGAAGAAGTGGATGTAAACAAGGATGAAATATTAACAATGTACCCAGAAGAAGTAACTGCTGGAGATCATCATGATGATGCATATGAACAATTGGAAAATCAAAATGTCCTCTTGCAGATGATAGGCAGATTATATGCCAAAGGCATTGCCATTAATATGAGAAATAAAAAGGGAGAGACACCACTCATGATTGAGATCAGCAAGTTTAGCCCATCAAAAGATGTTGTTAAAAGCCTATTACATTACAGGGCAAATCCAAATGCACAAGACATTCTTGGGAGAACCTGCTTACACACACTCCTTCTCCAGAACTACGAAGAAGACTTGCCAATTGTACCTTATCTTGAGCTTTTGATAAAGCATGGCGCAGATATCAATAAAACTGATGATTACGGCAATAATCCTATTTTTGTAGAATTAAAAAGGCAAAATCCGAGAACAAGTATTCTGAGATTCCTCATAGATGCACAGATAGATTTACGAGAAGCAGATGTGCATGGAAAAACGGCACTTCACGTTGCTTTAACAGCCACTTATGATAAAGAAATTGCAAAGGAAGAAATTGTAAGGGTTCTTTTAAAATCAAAAAAATTGAATGTGCTTTCCTGTGATAAAACTGGCATTTCTGCTTTCAGGTTGGCAATGGAAAATACAGATTATCATGATATTTTAAAACAGATTGCTCAACATGATTCATGTCCATATCCCCTTCATGCATGCATAGTAGAAGATATTAATGAAAGTATCAAGATTCAAGCTCTGATGCACTTGATATCAAATGGCGACGAAAAGTTCCAAATTTCAACGAAAGATCAAAATGACCAGACACTGATAATAACAGCTGTACAGAAGTGCCCAAACATGGTCAACCTCCTTGACTACTTACTAAACACAGACATTGACATAAATGCAAAAGACGGCCATGGGAAAAATGCTCTATTTTATTTAATTTCAGCTGACACTGAATTTAGCATTCGTGAGTCTGCTCTCAATTTACTTCTTGCGAAAAGCCCTTCTGTTCATGATGAACTCGAAGACAAGGACACACAGTCACCTCTAGCACTAGCAATGCAATTTATGACAAGTAGATCATTCGTTTTTGAACCTTTGGACCCTATAGAGTTTCCATCTGAAGCAATGACAAAGAAAATGACAACAGAGGAATCTCCGGAACAATATAACACAAGAAGAAAAGATGTGCGATCTAAGCATGTCCTTGATCTTAGAGTTGAAATTGTTCAGAAAATTCTAGATATTGCAACAGTGGACTTAGATTTCCCAATTGATGAAAAACAACGGACGTATCTTCACTACTGTGCAAGCTCTCGTCTTGCAGATGAAAAAACACGTGCTGTTTGCGAACGCCTTGTTAGACTTGGTGTGGATGTTGATAAGAAAGATAAAAATGGACTAACTTGCATTGATATGGCTTTTAGATACTCCGTTAAGAATTTTGACACACTTGTATTCTTACTGGAAGAAAGTAAACATTTGGAGGATCTAGACATAGATGGTTTATTGGAATGTATCACCCTGAAAAACTATCTCTATGAGGAGCTGGTTAGATATTTGGAGCAAAACATTTTTCCTCGGACTAAACCAAAACGAAACCTTTTCCAATATTTGGCCTCCATCAGCTATGATCCAAAAAGTCAACCAAAAGCTGAACGTGACAAAGTATTTGATGGTCTTCTAAAATCTTTTTCAATTGACCAAAAAAGCAAGAATGGACAAATTCCTTTGCACATTGCTATTGAAGGGAATGCTAGTGTTTCCTGTGTGCGAAGTTTTGTACGAGTAAGCAAATGCTGTATAAATACACCTGATTCTGAAGGAAATACAGCATTACATTTGGTCTTGAAATCTGATAGAGATGACACTGATGTATGTACTATAGTAAAGAAGATGCTGAAATGTGATGCCTCTGTTGATGTCCAAAATGATATGCTAGAAACGCCAATAATGCTTGCTGTTCATTGTCTCAGGGATCGTGCAGGTACGGTAACTGAACTTTTGAAAGCAAAGACAGACTTGTTTCTGACAGACAGAAGAAAATACACCGTCCTTCACCACTGTGTTGGAGCCGCAAAAAATGATATTGCCGCGAGCGCTCTACTTTCTTTGTTTATTGATAGTGGTCGCAGAATTCCAGTAATGGAAAAGAACACAGAAGGTTACACACCGTTAAATCTTGCCGCCAAAAACGAAAAGTTTAGTAGATTATTATGCATATTGAAACTTTTAGAAGTGAAAGAGTGCACAGCATATACAGTGGACAGACAGGAAAGAACCCCATTGTTCAACACAGCATTCTTTTTAGAAGGAGTCAGCCCGTTAGTAGTGCTTGAAAGACTTTTGCGTGGGTATATATTTATCATGCATAGAGACTCTCCCTCAGTGACAAATAACAAAGGAAAGACTGTATATGATGTTTGTAATGAATATGGCCATAGACATCTGGAAAATCTGTTGGAATCTGAAAAATCAGAAAAAATGTTCACAGTAGTCAAACAAGCATGGATTGATGTGTCTTCCAGATATCTTCTATTCGATAAAAATAGTAACGACCCTAAACTGCAGTTTGGAAGTAACGTGGAGAAAAGGTTTCGAAAACTTATTTATGATTCACTGCCTTTTTTGTCACACGTAAACTTTGATAACATAAAAAACGTAGAATTGGTAGAGGAGGAAAATAATCTCTCGAGTGTTCCTGAACTAGAACAAGGATAACGTAAAATTTGTAAATATTCGTTGATTTTGTGGAGTGATGTACATTAAGCGATAAAATATTTAGTAATGTGAAAAGTTGTCACTGCAAATTGGGGGGGGGGGGGGGGGGGTTACCTTGTTTTCATCACTTGCACAGAAAAATCATGCGTTATTTTTGGCAAATATTTCTGAAAGTTATTTTTAAATCTATAGAGGGTAATATTTAAAAAAAAAAACTACAAGACATACAGTGAAGCAAGAAGAGCCATAATGCACTCTTAAAATCACTAAATATCGGTTGCTACCGGGGGATTCGCCCCATGGACTCCCACCAAGGCGTTGTCCTGGAGAAACTGGAGTCTCTAGCCGGCCCTTAGGCACCTGCCTCAGCTCAGGAAAAAAATATCACCCACCCCCAACGAAATTTCAGGATCTGCCACTGGATGTAATTGCATTGTGCTCTTGAAGGGAAGATATATGTCTTCGTTAGAATGCTTCATCAAGCAAGTATACACTAGACCCTGAATCCTCATTTCTTAATTATTTAGCACTACTGTGTACGCTGTGTATTGATTTCTTGCTACTGCACTAATTTGTTGTACATAATTAAAAATATAAACTATCGTTACTGAACAGGTTTATGAAACTATATTTTATATCAGCAGTGATTAGTATTTCTATCTACTAATTTACACTGGAAAAAAAACTTCTTTTTATTAATGTGAGCATGGAATACCTTTATAATTACCTTATCTTTGTTGTTGTTGTTTTTAATAATTTTACAACTACAACGAATTTTAATTGTCTTTCCCGCAGTGCAATTAATGTCACATCGTAAATACTACGCACAACGTACGTGTTTGAAGTTAAATGTAAACATGGACATTCAATAATCATGCCTTGCTGTTCATTTTTAAGACTGTACAATTGTTGGCGGTAAACTCCTTTATGCGACATAGTAACAATAGTGAAATAAGGTAGATTTCTCGACCTGTTAAAGAATAACATATATTTCGGTATATTTATGTATTGTTTTTAAAGGAAATTGCAATGTATTGAACTTTTTATGTATTCTTTTAAGTATTGTAAATCAATTCTGTTGGATGAAGGCAAGAAAAAATAAGCACGGTTGAAAATTAAAATGTTCAATCTTGATTTATTTTATATGTGGAAAGTTTGTTTAGCATTTATTTTCGATTCTTATAACTCCCTAAGAAAGTTTCAAGGCGATTTCTCATTTTTCGTCCCCTGATAAATTCCAGACAGATTACCTATAAATAAGGTATACTATAGCACAATTATCTGCTTATTTTATTAAATTTATATGTCTTTTTACCACCAATGGCAGCTATTATTGTGTTTTCTATTAAAATGCAAATTGTTCAGCGTTGTTGAAGTATTTAAAGAGATTTTTAAAATGGTAATTGTTTTTAGCTTTGCATTGTCAGGTTAAATTAACTGTGAACATTTATCAATGATTCAGATCTTATAGAAAAGTATTTATTCTGAATAATGTAAAAGATGAAGATAACGAACAGTGATCAATCAAACAGATCAATTTATTGAATCAAGTATAAAGACCGCGAACATGTCAAAATCATGGACAGTAAAAATCACTAGGTAGGATCAGGTGCTTAGGAGGAGATACCATCCCCGGTCGACCAATTTAATTCGCCTTGAGCCTTATGCATTTATCAGGTAGAATGAGTACTCAATTGTCAAAGAATCTGGGGGGGATAAGGCGAGCCAATTGCCGATGCACGTTTTACGGTTGTGCAAAAAATGTATATGGGAAATATCTCATTTGTACGAATTAGCATAGGCATTTTAATGTGTACTTGTCAAGATGATGATACCTTGATTAAACACTTGATCTTCATTTTATATCCCAGGATGCCTAACATAGGTAGTGACTTCAATTCGGTAATATGTGTATTGAGTGTTAAAATTTATTGTGTATTTATTATTAGAATGTTTACATTAAACATAATGATAGTGGTGATTTTTTTGGTTTAGAAGCGCTTGTAGTATATATATATATATATATATATATATATATATATATATATATATATATATATATATATATATATATATATATATAAGAACGGGATATACACGTATTCCAATATTTTATATCTTTATCCAGCATTTTAAATAATTTACCGTCAATGGGTTCTTTATTACATACATATATTTTTCTTCGAGTGAAAAATGTTCTATTCCTATAGCAACATTTCAACTTAATTGTAAAGTAAAACAAAACTAAAAAAAAAAAAATCAGAGCATGATTCGAACACTTTCCCCAATAAATTTCTGTTTAAAGAGTTCCTCGCTCGGCTCGGCTTATCCCCTCCCCCCTCAGTTACCTTTAGTATAAGAGCAATGACCCAACAAATGGTATGAAAAATATGTCAGAAAACTACAGCCCATCGAAAGGTTGTATTAAACAAGGTCATCATAACCACCGTAGAATTTGCGAAAAGCTGAACGTAAGCGGGGTTGTTTAATTCCTTGTAAAATAAACCTATTTGTCAGTAAATTACCTCAGTATAAAAATTAATAGTATTCAGGGAATGCTCTTGCATATCAAATCAGTTGGGAGACAAACACCATAAGCAGGGTTTGTTTGAATATTGGATGTTGATCTTGGAAATCCTTTGCCATATACATGTAGGTTAGTTTTTAACTGGCCATTATCGTCTGTAGTCAGTAAAACAACTAAATGTAAAACAGATGTGACGGACTCTGTATTGCTTTTATTTCGAGTTCACTAAGATATATCGAGTCGACAAATGAATGAAAGTAAATATTGTTAATTGGTAAAACGCCGTGGAAATATATATCTAAATGTTGAGTTGAATGCCACATCAAGAGTTTGCTTCTGTATTTTGATTTTGAATAAAGGAACATAAAACAGGTCCGCTAACAATGGAGCACAACTATTGGCTATCGGAATTCCAATTCTTTTAATTATCATGAGGAATGGTTGTACACTCTACATAAGTACTCTGAAGGTGATAATAAAAGGATGCTGGAGTTGCCGTTGACAAGATTAATGTAATCTTTGGAGACCAGATCTTCCAACAATCTGTTGGAATTTTAATGAGCAATAATTGCTCCTTTACATGCCGACGTGTTTTCATACTCCTGTGAAACAAAATTTATTCAAAAAGTAAATGAGAAGAAAACGCTGTGTATTCAGATATATTGACGATGTTTTGTCAATTAACAATAGTTATTTCAATTTATATGTCGACTCGATAATTTCCAATGAACTCGAAATAAAGGACACCGCAGAGTCTGCCTCATCTCTTTCAAATTTGGATGTTTTACTGTCTATAGACGATAAGGGGCAAATAACAACTAAACTGTATGGCAAGCCAGCTTTTCGATCGTCAACTTTTCTTATTTATGTAGTAATATTCCGCTGTCACCTGCATTTAGGGGTTTTTACATCTCCCAACTCATTCGATAACCAATAGCATCCTTTGAGTACAATCAATTTTTAAGCCGAGGCAGACTACCGTCAGATACGTTGATAATATAGGGAAAGCAACAACCTCATTTCAAGTCAGCATTCTGTATATTCTATTGTTTTTTGTTTGTTTGTTTGTTTTGTTTTTGTTTTTGTTTTGGTTTTGTTGTTGTTGATTTTTGTTTTGTTTTTGTTTTGTTTTTTGTTTTGTTTGTTTGTTGTTGTTTTATTGTGTTTTTTTTTTTTTTTTTTTTTTTTTTTTTTTTTTTTTTTTTGCTCAATTTGAGTACAGTTTATTTTTTATCAATACTTTGGGTCTACAGTGGGTATGATCGATTGACAGGGGATGCATAGTTCTCTTAGGCACCTAATTCCACCTCTGGAATTTACGTGGGTGCGTGCTTTATGCCCTGTTCACAGATTTGTATTGTATACATGTAGCATTCGAGAGTCTGCTCTCAATTTACTTCTTGACAAATGTCTTTAATTCTGTTCATGATGAACTCGAAGAAAATGGCACACAGTTACCTCTTGCACTCGCGATGCACTTTATGACAAGTGGATTCTTTTCTTTAGAACTTTTTGAAGGAAATGCGTGGTACTAGCAAGTCTTTGATTTAAAAGTTGAAATTGTTCAAGATTAGTTATTGTAATGTGCCACCGCAAATACCTATCTCTACGATGACTTGGTTACGTATTTGCAGCAGAAATATTTTTATAGTATCGAACCGAAACACAATCGTTTCCATTATTTGGCTTCCGTTTTACGATGCCCACAAAAATCAAGCCAATAAAGAGCATGATAAACTTTTAAACAGCATGATAAACAGCATTACATTTAGTTATAAAATCGGATATTGAAAAACAAGTTGATGAAACAAGGATACTAACAGTCTCGTTTGAAGTCATCTTTTCGCAGGTTTTACGGTCGATACAATGACCTTGTCAGCACATACAACCTATCATTGAGTCGAATGTTGACTGAGGTTTTTCATACTAATTGGTAGGCCATTATTTATACATTGAACTGTCTACGGATTTTTCCGTTATTACCCGATCATGACCAGGAGCAAACGGCGGGTGTGATCGGTCGGGAGGGGATGCTCACTCCTCCATGGCACCTGATTCCACCTCTAAATTTGAGGTCCGTGTTTGCTCTGACTCAAATTTGTATCGTTTCATTGGACTTTCGAGATTGAATAATATTCGTTATCTTCAAATTTCATTGTAGACACTGATGTATGCACTACAGTAAAGAATCTGAAATGTGGTGCTAAAGTTTATGACCGATATGAGATGTCCGAGACACCAATAATGTTGGCAGTTCGGCGTCTCAAAGATCTTACAAGTACAATAATTGAACTTCTAAACTTCTAAATGGCAGATACCCAGCCAAGATTGATATCTGGCATTCGTGTGGTTTCATTCTATTTTAGCTTTGTTGTGTACACTTCATGTCTTTTTCGCTTTTTATGTATAATTCATTGACAGTGCACGTATTTTATAAGTAGATTCGCAAGAAATAAAATAATATTTTGTAACT